TTACCTTCCACTGGCCGATTTCTCCTGCAACAATAATTATCACGCCAGTATTTATCGACCACCTTTTGAGATGTTGTATGGGAGGAGGTGCAATACCTCTGTTTTTTGGGGTGAGGTTGGGCATTGGGTTATGGGGAGTACCAAAGTAGTGCTCAAGACTATTGAGTTGATTCATCAAGTGCATGGCATATTGTGAGTCATGTAAAGCCGACAGAAGAGTTTCGTGGACCGTCATCATTCAGACCTCGAGTTTCAGGTGGGGGGTAACTTTGTGCTTCTGAATGTGTCATCTTGAAAAGGTGGGCCCCGGGTTTATTGGTCCCTTCATCATTTCCACTTAGGTAGGAAAGGTTGCATACCGGCTGGATCTGCCTGATGAGCTCAGACAGATCCATAACAACTTCCATGTATCTCAGTTGTGGAAGTGTGTAGTCGATGATTTTGAAGTGATCCCTTTGTATGATATTTAGGTTGATGAGAACCTGAACTATGTTAGGAGGCTGATTGTAAGACTCGAAATGAAGACGAAGGCTTTGTGCAACAAACCGGTGAACATGGTGAAGGTGTAGTGGCAGCACCGAAAACACTCTGAGTGAATGTGGGAGCCTGAGGATGATATGAGGGAGCACTACCCATACTTGTTTGTAACAACAGAATTCAAGGACGAACTTTGATTCAAGTGGGGAAGATTAACACCCGTGTTCCATGTACCTTTCATTATTGACTCTAAGTTTAAAATCTTTACAAAAATCAATCCACACGCAGGGCATACCTCCTGGTACGTCGGGCGTAGTTCATTAATGGGTGGCGGAATTTCTTTTGCATACGCTCGGTGTACATAATAGTACGCAGGGCGTACTCACAAATATTCTAAACACTAAATTTTATGGTTTGGACCCTATTTAAATAACTTAATGGCCTCAAACCTCTCCTTACCTCTAGCCTCCATCCATATTATCCCTCATCTCGAAACCCTAATTCTTGTGTATAAGTTTTGAAGCTTTTTAGTGATATTTTGGTGTTTTTGGTGGTGAAGGAGAACCTTTGAAGTTGTGGTGTTGCTCTCAAGATTTTGCATCAAGTTTCTTCTCATCCTTGTGCATCTTATGGAGGTATAAAGTTCAAATCTTGATGCTTGCCTTGCTAGATCTTGTTAAGTTTCAAGTTATGACCTTTTTGTCCTAAAAATCTTGGTATCATGAGTATTATACACTCCACACTAGTTGAGTTATCCTTTTAAACATGTTAGAGTGTTTAGTGTCATAAAAATGCAAGCTTGGTCCTTGGTATTCTTCTTCACAAGAGTTATGGAGTTTTAAATATTTATATGAGTTAGGGTTTTGGCTTTGCATTCCATGTAGCCATGCAAAGGCATAAATGTTGAAACTTTATGATTTTAGACGTTTTTTAGGGTTAGATCTGAAGCATGGATGTTGATTCTTAAAGCATTAAGACACTAAAAGAGAGTTTGGACTTCATGGGATTATGTGGGGCGTACTCCTGAGTACGTTGAGCGTAGTGGGTTGTAGCCCCGTAGCCCTTTCGAGATCGAGTTATACATTGGGCTAAGTAAGGGATACGTTGGGTGTACTCTTATAAATGCTTTTGATCCATTTTGGGCTTTAGGTCATTATGGATTTTGGGCCTTTCTAGTTGGGTCATGTATGGGAAGGGCAAAATGGTTTTTTCCCTTAGTAAGTTAAAGGATGAATTGGACCTTCGTTTATGGGATTAGAATCCCGATTATTAATTAGAAGTGATTTTTAGGTTATGATCAATATGAAGAGCCGTAGTAGTAGAATCTCGAGTGTGTGTTTCAGATATCTTTAGTTGAGGTGAGTCTTCTCACCAAACTAGTGGATCACAGGCACCAATGCCGACCAAGTGATTATATATGTAGGATGTATGTGATTATTACTAATATGATTGCATAAATTATGCATGGAGCCACTCTGGTGTAATGCTCCGTTCTTAAAATATCTATTTATGGGTTCCCGAGATCAAGAGTAAGGCGTTTCGGTCTTTTATGGGTATTGGGTTTTATTCAAAAAGGGTTTTCGGGTTGGGGTGTGTCGCTAGAAGCGTAGGTCATCTCGCCACCTTTATGTGGATATAAAGTTCTTCGGGAACATACTTTGGATGGAGGAGATGTTGTAAATTGAAGATATTGGCAACAATGGTCCCTAAAGGGGAAGTTTAGCAAAGGGGTCCCATGCATGCCAAGCATACATGCACATGTTTGGCTGGGTACGCCCAACGTAAGTTGGATGTATGCCCAATGTAATGCATTAAATGAACGCAGAGGTCTCTTGACGTACGCCCAACGTACTGGAGGTCCGCCCAGCGAATGTCTATCATCCAAAAACCCTAAGTTTTGGGACCAGCCACTATATAAGTAACATTATGGTTCTAACCCTAGCCTCCATAAACACTCTCTTACCCTCAGAAAACCCTAGGTAGCCATCCCACCTCCATTGTTGGGTGTGTTTGACCATGGAAATCTTGTTTTGGCAAACGAGAGCCAAGAAGAAGAAAGAGGAAGTTATCAAAGAAAGAGTGGGGTGGCTGGAGCTCGTAGATCTGGAAAGGCATCATCTTCTGGAGCCCTTTTGAGGTAAAAAGTCTCTGGCTTGACAATCTTATTGTATAGATCTATGTGTTGTGAAGTTTTGACACCATTGTTGTCCTAAAAACCTCATCTTGATGAATGATTCGAGTTGGTCGAGATTAGCTGTCCTTTCAGACCTCAGGAGATGTCTTGAGTAAGAAAAATGAGGTCCCAAGGACTTTGGTTGTCTCATATATGATATAAGTAGGTCTTAATGGATTAAGACCTTGGTTTAAGAGCTTTATGGATGTCCCAAGTAATAAAGTTTAAGACATTATGAATCCTAGGCATATTTGGTCTATGGATCTGAAGTTTGGGCTTAAGAGCTTAAGCCATTAAGAACTTATGTGGAGTTGCAGTTCAGCGAGGTTACGCCCCATGTAAATGGGGGTATGCCCAGCGTAGTGGGTCTGTGTCCCGATTCCAATCCGCGAGCATCGTTGTACGCCCAGCGTACTCCTTCTGTTGAGTTTTCATTTTTGGGCCTTAAGGGATTGGGCTGTTATTGGGCTAATAGAGCTTGGGCCGTGACTGGACTTTATGGATGGAGTAATTTGGACTCACTAATTATTATGGACCTTGGATCTAGGCCCATTTGGTGAGGTGGGCCTAATTTAGTAAATTGGGCTAATATTGGGCTTTGCTTCAGACTTTTGTTCTTTGGGACATTAGTGGGCTTGAGAGCTTACCTAGTGTTGGGCCTTTCATATTTTGATTATAGGCCTTAGTTATGGACCAGATTGAGTTAAGGTTAAATTGGTCAATTTACCCTTGGAAGGATATTATGCTTGGGCTAATGGTTATTTTGCTGCTTTGGATAGTTCGGGATTTTTGGTGAGTTGGTGGTTTGGGCATCTGCTTCTTCAGTTCAGAGTTTCGGCAGTTACAAGGTGAGTTATCCTCACTATATCAACAGGGTCTAAGGCACCAAGGTCGGCCCTTATCGGATGGAAATCCAGGTAGTTGTTATGTTATTGCCTTGTTATATTTGTATCTTGGTTTATAGGATGATGCTATGCTAGTGACCGGTTAGGTCGGTATCCTGGTAGGGATGTGCTATGTATGTGATCTGCTAGATTGGTTGATTGGTTGTGAATTGTTATATGATTATACGTTTATGTGCACATGGTTGATTGACTGGGGTTGGGTTGAGGCGGCTCATGCTTTGTGCTGTAGGCCAACATACCCAGGGCGGACCGAATATCCTGAAGGCCCAGCGAGCGGTACGGATAGGCTGTAGGACCCACGAGGGCGGACCAGACGTGCCAAGGCTCGGAGAGTGGACCAGGCCGACTGAAGGCCCGGTACGGGTGGACCAGTCATACTGTAGACTCAGAGAGTGGACCAGGTGGGTTGAAGGCTCGGTGCGGGCCGACCAACCACACTGCAGACTCGATGTATATGGCTAGGCTCGGGGGGTGGACCAGGTGGACTGAAGGCCCGGTGCGGCGGACCAGTCACACAGTAGACGCGAAGTGCATGGCTATTATGTTTATGATATGACATGTCATGTGTATGGTATATGTGGTAGGTATTTTGGGGGTATCTCACTAAGCTTTCAGGCTTATAGTTGTGGTTTAATGTTTCAGGTATTTCAGGAGACTGTGGCAAGGCAAAGGCGTGATTGTACCGCTCCTCATGTTTATGTTTTATGATATGGTTCTGGGAATACTCTGATAATAAATGTATTGAAAACCTCTTATTAATCACTTAATGAAAATGGGTTGTTTTTGAAAAGTTTAAATTGGTTGAAAATTTTAGAGCGTTACATCTAGGCTCTGAGTCATTATGGACTCAAGGTTGATACGAACTCGGGGGTTGATATAGACTCGACACAACTACTTGTTGTTATATGGGTTTGATACGGACCCGGGGGTTGATACGCACCCGGCACAGCCATGTGTTGCTATATTTATGTTTTTGATGTGTGTCGTATTTTTGGGAACTCACTAAGCTTTGTGCTTACAATTTAAGTTTATGTTTCATGTAGGGATGAGAAAAAGGACCGGGGAACCGGCCGGGACCTATACTATAAATTCGTGATTATTTGGAAACGGGACCCGAAAAGAACCGGCTATTGGAACCGGCCCAAAACCGGGAACCAACCCGGCTAGAAAACCATGTTGCCGATTGTTGACGTAATGACGTTCACAATCCCAACTCCTGCTTGCGATACACACACAAAAAAAACTTCTGCTTCCCATCTAGTCGCAAATCGCAAGCATTCTCGTAACAAAAAAAAAATCGCTCACGGCCACGATCCCAACTCCCCAAGTCACGAACCCTACTCTCTTCAACAATCGGCAATCATCATCTCTTCATTATCATTCAATTCTTCATCTCCAAGTTTCCATCGATTACAAGTTTCCATCTCCAAGTTTCAATCGATCTTCAATTCTTTATCATCATTCATTGATTTTCATCTTCAATTGCTTCAATGATTCAAGCTATGGATGTTCATGAAGATCAAGTAAGAGCATATATTTATATTTCATGTTTTAAGATTATATATTTCAATATTTTCTTCAATGCTTCAATGATTCGCCAAATAATGGCATGCATGAAAGTTTTTTTTCTTTGGTTTTGTTGTCTCCATTCCAAATATATGCATTGGTATCCCTAATTAATTAAAAGATCTTGATTCTTGATCATAGTCTCATAGTGGAGTACTCCTTTACGGATGAAAGGTTGTACATATAATATATGTTTCATGTTTTAAGCTCCATTTAACAATGTACTTTGTAGACATACATGCAAGATTTTTGTTATATTAGTTTATTGTTTATAGTATGAATGTAATTATGTAAGATTGTCAAAACTACGAATTTGTTTAGTACTTTTGTTATATAATTAATGTGTAAAATTGACAATGTAGGATTTGGATGGGCTACCAAATGTACAATCATCAAGATACCTAAACTCGGATGCTCATGATGCCAATATTGAAGATGGTAATCCGGCTAATTGGATTGGAAAAGACTTTGATGACCAAGTAAGATTAGCATTTAGCTCATTAGAAATATTTATTTCTTTAGCAATCTGTCCAAATATGAAATTGTGCATAACTAGTTCAATTTAACTTGTTTTAACCTGAATCATTTTCCTACATGTAGATTAGGATTTGTAGTTGAATTTAGACTATAAAAACGCTTGATTTGGTTAAAAATTGAATGAGTTACAAGCCCCGCAAGGAAGGGTGTCAAATCTGATTTTTTTTCTAACAGCAATAAAACGTGATCTGATTTTGTTGTTCAAATGTGTATAATTCATTCAATTTAACTTTTTTTGACCTGAATCTTTTTCCTACATGTAGATTAAGATTTTTAGTTGAATTTAGACTATAAAAACGCTTGATTTGGTTAAAAATTGAATGAGTTATAAGCCCCGCAAGGAAGGGTGTCAAATATGATTTTTTTTTTCTAACAGCAATAAAACGTGATCTGATTTTGTTGTTCAAATGTGCATAACTCATTCAATTTAACTTATTTTGACCTGAATCTTTTTCCTACATGTAGATTAGGATTTGTAGTTGAATTTAGACTATAAAAACGCTTAATTTGGTTAAAAATTAAATGAGTTACAAGCCATGCAAAGAAGGGTGTCAAATCTGATTTTTTTATATTTATTTTTCAGCATTTAAACGTAATATGACTTATTATATGTTTTATTTTGAGAATATAGGATTATGGAGAAGATTCAAAAGAAGATTATATAGAAGAAACACCGGCATGGAATGTTATACCAAGTGATGAATCAAACCTAGAAGAGGAGCCACAAGAACAACAACCTTCAAAAAAGCAAAAATTTGCAACCACACAAAAACAAAGACGACCAAAAAAACCAACACAAACAAAAAAACCACCACCACCACAAAAACGAACACAAGAAAAATACCCAACAAAAACAAAACCCAAAAACAAAAAAAAGACTCAAAAGGAGTTAAGGGACCGGATTAACCCAACCAGACGAGGTGAGGCTAGAGATAATTGTACCGCTCCTGTTTGGAAATACTTCGAGATCGAATGGATAAAGGAGGATGATGGAATTGAAAGAAAGTGGGTCGAATGTAATTATTGTTTACATTTACTAGCCGCAGATCCAAACCGGAATGGGACAACTTCAATAAACAAGCATTTTAATGGGTGCAAGTTAAATCCAGACAACATACCGAAACAAGTTGATGACAAACAACAAAAGTTGTCATTTACGAAAGCTCCTAATGGTGAGGGTCATGTATACACATGGAAACATGATGATACTAGGATCCAACTTGCCTTGCTAGGACTTTTCACCATCGGGGAACTACCATTTAAATTCATTGAAAACGAGGCATTCATAGAATTTGTAAACGCCCTCAATGGTAGGGTGAAATTACCTTCAAGGCATAAAATTTCTCGTGATGTTGTGTCATTCTATTTAATGGAGAGGCAGAAGTTGTACAAACATTTGGGCAACCCCAAAACAGCTATTCACTTAACAACCGACACGTGGACATCCTCGTGTCAAAAGATAAATTATATGGTTGTCACGGCCCACTTCATTACTGAAGATTTTGTCATGCACAAAAGGGTAGTAAACTTTAGAGATGTTGATACTCACAAAACTGAAGACATGGTCTGGGAGTTGCTAATTTGCATAAACGAGTGGGGGATGAAGAATGTCATGACGATGACCGTTGATAATGCCAAGACAAATGACGCGGCAATCAACATTATTGTGAAAGAACTAACGGGTATTTACGAGAACGGCAAACATTTTCACATTAGGTGTATGGCTCATATCATAAACCTAGTTGTGAAAATGGGGTTAAAACACGAAGTTTATCATGTAAAAAACCTACAAGATACGGTGAAATATATTAGAGTCTCCCCGCAACGGATCAAGATGTTTAAACAAACCATGAAGGATGCGGCTGTAGAAAGTCAAAGGTTTTTGTGCGGTGAAACTCCAAAAACGTGGAACTCTACCTTTGAATTGCTAAGATCAGCATACGATGTGAAAGACACATTTATCGAATATAGCCATCAAGGTAAATAAAATTAATTAATCAAATATATTTTAGCACTAAAATTAGCAATATTTACTTCTTTAGCAATCTGTCCAAATTTTAAATTGTGCATAACTAATTCAGTTTTACTTTTTTTTGACCTGAATCTTTTTCCTACATGTAGATTAGGATTTTTAGCTGACTTTAGACTATAAAAACGCTTGATTTGGTTAAAAATTGAATGAGTTACAAGCCCCGCAAGGAAGGGTGTCAAATCTGATTTTTTTTTTCTAACAGCAATAAAACGTGATCTGATTTGGTTGTTCAAATGTGCATAACTCATTCAATTTAACTTATTTTGACCCGAATCTTTTTCCTACATGTAGATTATGATTTGTAGTTGAATTTAGACTATAAAAATGCTTGATTTGGTTAAAAATTTAATGAGTTACAAGCACCGCAAGGAAGGGTGTCAAATCTAATTTTTTTTTCTAACAACAATAAAACGTAATCTGATTTTGTTGTTCTTTTTTTTGTAGATCCAATGTTTCAGAAAACTGTGGAAAGGGTACCATCACATTCAGATTTTGAGATGATTAAAAATATTATGGAGTTCCTTGAGAAGTTTAAGAAGAAAACTGAAAAAGTTTCGTGTTCAACAAAGCCTATCTTCCATACGTATACCCGGGAGATCCTAGATATAAAGCAACATCTTAGGAAACATGAAACCAACCCGGATTTTATGTTTATGGTACCAGATATGAAAGATAAATATGACAAATATTGGGGTGACTATAATACTATAAGTGATTATGTCTTCTTTGCGACATTGTTAGATCCTCTATGCAAGTCAAAGTTTATGAAAGTTGTTTTTACCCAAATGCTTAAAGCCAAGAACAAAGATAAAAAGATGTCCGCTGATGAGATAGAATCCAAAGCACGTGCAAAGGTTATTGATAGCGAATGCAAATTGGACACGTTTTTCAAGACATACTTGGAAAGGTCAAACATGACCTCATCGTCTCAACAAGAAACTCCCGAAGAAGTTGTTAATTTTAATGACGAAAACGAATTCTTTGGAAGCTATATGACTTCGGGAAGTTTCCCCTCGACTTCGTCAGAAAGTCAATTGCAACGATACTTAAACGAGGACCCAATTGGATTTGACAAAGGATATGATATCCTCACATGGTGGAAAAATAATGCGGTGCGGTTCCCGATCGTTGCTCGAATGGCAAGAGGTATCGACCTTCTTTTACTCTAATTTAAAATTTTAATTTATAAATTTGTGTCGTGTATTATACACTAATTTGTTTATTAATAGATTTTTTGGGGATGCAAATTTCCACCGTATCATCCGAATCCACATTCAGTAATGGTCATCGAGTAATTACCGACTACCGTACTAATTTCTCCGTTGTGATTGTAGAGGCATTGATATGCACTCAAGATTGGATAAGAAAGAGTAGCTTGCCTATATATGACTACGACGAAGTGCACGACGTGTTCGCTGACGATGACCTCGCTATCGGTAATACACTAATACTTGTTACATCTTATTTTTAACTTCTTATTAGTATTTGTTACATTTTAGTAAGTAATAACATTTTTCTTTTGTATTATATATAGACATTATGGATGCTATACACAACTTGAAGCTAACGGGGAAGAGATCGGGGAATTAGTCAAAATATCAAAGAAATGTTGGAATCTACATATTAGACTTTTTTTTTTTTTTTTTTTTGATGAAACTTGGAAGTATATTTTGAATGTCGAAAGTGTATTTTGAATTTTGATTGTTTGAATGTTGGATACTTAATAACATAAATTTGACGACATTCATGTTTAATTTGCTTGTAATAATTTAAATAAAATATCCATGGTTAATTTGCTTGAATGTTGAATCGTTTATTAAAATGTTGATTATTATAATTTTGATTATTTACTAGTATTTAAACATCCACTTCTTCATAAAAAAACCAATAAAGCGCAAAGTAATTTAGTCGTTGGAATTACTCGAAAAACCGGCAAAAATCGGACCCGAAAAACCAATAAAACGCAAAGTAATTTAGTCGTTGGATACATCAAAATTTAGTCGGTTCCAAACTCGAAAAACCGGCAAAAACCGGAACCGGTAGAACCGCCGGGCCGGTTCGGTTCTTCATTTTGGCAGAAGCCGGTTCCCCGATCCGGTTCGGTTCGGTCCGGTTCCGGCCGATTCGGTTCTTTTGCTCATCCTTAGTTTCAGGTACTTCCGGATTAAAAGGGAAGGGTCTGGCCTGATTGCAGCACATCCACCTTTATTCATCATTTTTATGCTTTTTGGGATTGTGTTTTGATAACTATTTTCACATTGACATACTTTTGGTCGATGATATGGATATTTGATGATTTTGATTGACTTAAAAATGAAATTTTTACTTATAAAATTTGGGATGTTAAATTATCTCTTCATTTAATTCAAAATTAGGGTTTATCAATTACCTAATTTTTAGGTGTACAAATTTTAGGCAAGTAAAACAACAAATAAGGAAACTAGTAATCCCCTAGTGATTTTTGAAAAAGGCAAGAGCAACAATCAAAAACCCTAGAGGACAATGGATTTTCGAAAATTAGGTATAACCTGGTTTTTCCAGATTCCACAAATGTCCAATTTTATAGACAAAACCTGGCTCTGATACCATTGATATATTTGTAGGTTACAAATTTTGAATCAACATGATTTGCACAGTGAAATTTACATAAAACTATTTATGAGCACATGCAACCTAGAGATCTTTGATCTTTCTCATAACAACAACATACTTTGAAAAACCTAATCTAACCTATGCATAATCAAAATTCGTAGAGTTAGAAACATACCTTTTCTATTTTAAAGAAAAGCAACCAACTTTTCTTAAAGATCTTCCATGGAAAGCAAGCACCAAAAGTATGATGCCTCTAATGGCTCACATCCAAAACACTAGAAACTAAGGAATGATTTGAGAGAGAGGAAAGGGAAGGAATTCCAGCTATGACTTCTCTAGGGACTCAATGTCGAAAATCCTAGCCATAAGTTTCCTATTTATAACTTCTAGGATACCAAGATAAATTCTAATTTGAATATTAAAATAATCCGTTTTAATCCTTATTCAAATTAGTTTCCTTTTATGCATTTGGAGGCTTCTAGAACTCCTTAAAGGAGCTTCTCAAAATTGTCACATGCATGGGGGTTCTAGAATATCTCATTTGCTCAACTCTTGAATAACTGCAACTTAACCTTGATACCTCTTATTAGGTCAATTAACCCAAAATTAATTTCCAATTAATTATGATTAGTTCTAATCAATTTCTAATTAATTTATTAATCATATAATAAATTAATAAAGTATTGTCCCTTCTCCTAATATCATTCTTAGCTATTTATGGTTATAAGGGCTATCTAAAAAGGACTTTTCTTTTATTCACAAGATTATACCAATTTAGTTAAGACCTCAGACACCTTAATCCAACAAACTAGAGATTGTAGTAACACCATATCTTTCTTGTAATACCATATCTCCTGTAAGACTTTCCAAGAACCATTTCCAATTTTATATATTCTCTACACAAACCATAACCCATATAATTTGAAAGATTTGATTATTTTCATTCATACCAACCTTCTCTCCAACCTCTCTTTAGTCTATCAAACATATGTATAATTGAATAAAATAGTTTTTACCATCTAGCACAGAGTTCACACACATTTTACAAACATATCCAAGATTTGATCTTCATATCTCCTCAATGTATGACAAAAGCTTATCATAGTGTTCCACAATGATACCATCAATATAATACATAACATGTTTCTTGTATTTCATACACTATCCTATACTCACCTTTATGCCAAATTTCTTTTTCACCTCTTCCCTAAGTAGTCTTACACACATTTTCAGTTTGTGTTATTAGTGTATGATTTATAGTCTTGGGTTTGTATTCTTATTTGAACCTTTTGTATTTGGCCCATTTTTGATGTAATCATGTATATATATATGTGTATATATATATATATATATATATATATATATATATATATATATATATATATATATATATATATCTCAATCAATGAAAGGTGATTTTCATGGGAAATACCAATATTTTATGGTATCAGAGCGTATCAAGCTTTCCTGAAATCTCTCTAAACCTAGGCGTCGCCTTCTGTTCTGTCGACTGCCTCCTTTGATTCTTCTTCTATTATGTTTTATTTCTTCACCTTTCATTGATTTTCACAATGACTGGATCCTCTTCTTCTGCATCATCTTCTACACTTTCTGATAAACCTTCTTCTACGATTAACATCAAACATGTTGTTCCCTTGATTCTTGATTTGGATCGTATGAATTACGATATCTGGCGTGAACTTTTTGAGATCCATTGCATTGGATACGGAGTCAAAGATCATCTTGAACCCCCAAAAGAAAAGATTTATGTAGAAAACAACGATGAATGGACCCGGTTAGATGCCATCGTGAAGTCTTGGATGTATGGCACCCTTGAAATCTCTCATCTTCATCTGATTTTTGAGAAATAGACAACAACATATGATGTTTGGCTTAAACTTGAAAAAGTTTTTCGGACCAACAAAGCAAATAAGGTAATTCAACTGGATAATGAACTGAGAAATATTACCATTGGAATTTCTTCTGTCACAAAATATTGTAATCGTATCAAAAACCTTGCTGATCTCCTCAATAACATGGATGCAAAAGTTCCTGAACCTGACCTTGTTGCTTACACCTTAAATGGGTTGTCTCCAAAATTTCGAGTCTTTGCAACTACAATCCGTCATCGGGACCCTCTACCCTCGTTTTGGGACGTTAGGTCTATGCTCATCCAGGAGGAACAACAATTTATTCAAGAAGACAGCCGCCGATCTTCTCTTACTCACTCCGATACCGCCTCATTGCCTCATGCCCTTGCCACCGAGTCGACAAATCAGCCGCCATCTCGAGGTGGTCATCGTGGGGGATGCAACGCCGATCGGTACAGAGGTGGTCGAGGCGGAAGACATGATGGTCGAAACTTCAATGGCGGCAGCGAACCTCCTTTGAACGGACCGTATCAGCAACGAGGTGTGGGGAACTCTTCAGAGAATTGGGTCTACGGATGGCATCAGGTCAACAATAATGGTGGAGTCAAATCTTCAAATGGTGGACCAAATTCTCTTGGACTTCTTCCAAGCCCTAATCCGGCTCCTCATAACAATCATTTTGGACCAAGACAGCCTTGGGTCCAGCCGAACACAACCCAACAACATTTATTTTTTGGTCCACAGCAAGCTTATCAGACTAGTCACACTTCTCAACCTTTTTTGTGGCCCAACAACTCATATTCAACAAATCTGGAGCCCACTTCTCTTCCACAAATGTTTAATACTATGTCATTAAACGATCCAGGTCAAGATGGGTGGTATATGGACACCGGGGCTACATCGCACGTTCACGCCAATGCAGGTATTCTCAAGTCTGTTTCAGATAATCATTTATTTTCTTCATCTATTTTAGTAGGAGACGGATCTTCTATACCTGTGACTAAAATGGGACATTCCACTCTTCCGCGCAATAATATGTTTCGCACCTTACATCTTAAAAATATTTTGATCACACCATCTATTATTAAAAATCTTATATCTGTTCGTCGTTTTGTTCGTGAAAATAATTGTGTATAATTGAATTTGACCCCTTTGGTTTTTCTGTGAAGGATCTTCAAACCAAACAAATTCTCATGCGATTTGAAAGCAATAGTGATCTTTATCCTGTCACTGCTCCAACAACTCAAGCTCTACTTTCCGTTTCTCCGTCTCTGTGGCATCAACGTCTTGGTCACCCTGGTCATCATGTCTTTAAACACTTAGTTCATAATAAATCTATTTCTTGTTCTTCCAATAAAGACTCTAGTTTATGTCATGCATGTCAATTAGGCAAACATGTTAAATTGCCTTTTAGCTTATCTTCTTCTACTTCTTTGTCTCCCTTTGAACTTGTGCATTCTGATGTGTGGACATCTCCTATTGAAAGTACTAGTGGCATTAAATATTATGTCATATTTTTGGATGATTTTTCACATTATGTGTGGGTTTATCCTTTACGTGCGAAGTCTGATGTCTTTGATAAATTTTTTCTTTTTCGTACATTTGTCAAAAACCAATTTAAAACCGAAATCAAAGCTATTCAATGTGACAACGGAGGTGAATATGAAAATCATAAATTTCATCGATTATGTGACCAACATGGCATCCACATGCGTTTCTCATGTCCGTATACATCTCAACAAAATGGTAAATCTGAATGCATGCTTCGTTCCATTAATAATGTTATACGTACCCTTCTTTTCAATACTCGTATTCCCCCCACCTACTGGGTTGAAGCTCTTCATATGGCTGCCCATTTGCATAACATTTTACCTACAACCACTCCAAAAAATGACACTCCATTTCACAAACTCTTTCAAAAACAACCCTCTTACAAGCACCTTCGTGTTTTTGGGTGCCTTTTCTTTCCTCATATCGAGGCTTCCGATAAACTTTCTCTGCGATCAACACCCTGCATTTTTCTGGGTTACCCTACTAATCACAAAGGATATCGTTGTCTCAACCTTGACACAAATCAAATAATCATATCTCGTCATGTTGTATTTGATGAAACCGTTTTCCCTTTCGGATCCATGACTCTAAACACTTCTCCTTCCTACTCATTTCTTGATCATGTTCCTCCACCTACTCTTTTTACTCCACTCTCACAAAATACTACTATTCACTCTGACGGTGACTCTCCTCTCGAGACTCCCTCTTTCTCTGATTCCTCTCCTGAGGATACTTCCTCCCTCGGCACTCCAACTCCTTTGGGTCCTCC